AACACAAAGGCCAGTAATTAAAATGCACTCTATAGAAAGTCTAGGAGAGGAGAGAGACCATCTCCCTGATATCAATATGAAGCTCATGAGAGAAAAACCTTGTCTGCTATACAATAAGAAAGTATCAAAAAAATCTAGGATGCAATCAAAAACTCCAGTGCCGCTATGTAACTTCCAACCAGGAAAACATGCAAGGAAGTCTTCTACTGCCTGGAAAATGGTATCATGTTCTAACTATCCAGCGTGACAAATGAATGCCCGTAAAGCTCTAACTTGCTATGCTATCCAGAGGGATATCTTAAAAGGGAAGAACAAAAGTAAGCATACAGGCTTCCCTGTCCATTTCATCTTTGAAGATTTGAAGTGTATGAAGTGTTTTCACTGATGAACTGCCTACTTAGTCATGAAGCTTAAAAAAAAAAAAAAAATCAGTAGCTAAATTTATATCAGCAATAATACAGTGCATACATATTACCTTTCCTAATAATTTTATCTTCTTTAATCTAATAGGCTCTTTCAGACTATCACTAGCTCCTAACAATACTATGGAAGTACTTCCAAGACTGAAAAAGTATTCCTAAACATACCATTCTCTGCTGCCTTTTTGATCCCAACTTCATCTTCCTGTGAATCTGGAGAAAGTCCAATGATATCAAACCTTACAAAAATATCAACAAGAGCATTACTCAATAGAGCATCCATTCCACTACTTTAAAGCACAAAACTGAGATACTTTCTAAACTAGAATGCTTGCTAGCTGACATTTCATACCAATTATCCACAATTTCCAAGAAATCATGAACAACAAATGCTTGACCTAGCCAACAAAGTTTTTGAGAGCTTTGCTTTCTTCTGTCATTTACTGCCAATTAAACAGCACAGTTTTGATACTTGCTCCAAAAACATCAGCAGGGACTTAAATTTGTCACGCACACAAAATTAAAATACTGTTTGAAGAAACAAACTCAAGTTACTTGAAGAACAGAAAAAATCAGGAGGGATGGCTTAAGAAATCTGAAGCTACCATATTTTTTCCTGCTTTCTATTCAGAATGGATGTTCTAAAGAACAGTTGCTAGACATCCTAATTCTACTGATGCACTAAATATTGCTCAATTGGTAGCAGTGGTATTTATATTCAAACCTCTGCTACTACTGACTACAAATTCATATACAACACAAACTATAGATTATAGATGTAAAATGAGATTATTTTTTCATGTAGTTTAATACATGCAGATTAGAACTGAAGAATAACCATTGCCACAGTTACACAGAAAAGTGCAGTATATTTTGAGAGCCCTTTTCTGAAAGGAAACTGAAGCAAAAAGCTTTTAATACTTCCATCCAATTAAAAGAAGCCATTCAGGATGTTCAGGATTTTTAATTAAGAACAGTGAGCTCAGACCTCTAGATATCTTTTGAATCAAACTGTTTGCAGTTTAATAAATACTCACCATGATGGCATAGCCATGTTCATGTTTAAAGTAACCGGCATAAATGGCCTAAGAATGGGAATGAACAACATTGATGTAAGGTACATACTGAAATTTAATTACACAGATGCAGTTACGTCATTGAATTACATCTCTCTTTTTCTTCCAAACCATAATTAACACTAGCTGCCCTATAACGTGTCTTTGACTAATCTCCCTTGAAATCGGTCTCTCCAAACACATTTATCATACAGGGCTGACCTTTGCTTGGAGAGCAAGCAAAATATTAACGGGCTGTTTTAAATATACACCCACACATGTAAAATACAAGCATATATGTATGTTCCATGTAGCTATTTCTAAATAAGACTTGTATATCACAGTTCCACAGACAGGCTCAGTGGATGAAGGCACCTTACACAGCATCAGCAAACCTAACAATCAGCAAAATGCAGCATAATGGCAGAGCCTAGCCACACCTGCTCCCCTCAGCAGCAGAAGCTGCTTAAGCAATGCCTGACTCCATTCAAAGACTCATTCCCACCCTCACGCTGCTGCTGCTGTATGGCATCTTCTCAGATAACTGCACTTGACTACATGACAAATCAAATGTAGCTACTGTTTTAATCAACTGAAGCAGAGGAACGTAAAGGCGGCAGGGAAGACTGAAAGGAGTCAAAGGGCAATCAAAGAGAATAGCTTGCTTACTTATTGCTGTTAGAGCAGAAGAAAATCTGAATTTTGGGTTAAAGTAAACTAAAAGCATTAAAATACATCTAGGATTACTTACTGACTCCTCACCCTGCTCAGTACTTCAGTTCTCAAATTGCAAAGAGAGCCCCAAATGCATTATTTGCAGAAGATATAAGAATATCCTGTGAACCTCTGAAATGCACTACATGTAACATGGAAGTTGCAACTACTACATACACAAAGGTTTAAGACATGCATGTGCATAATGTAAAGCTTATTTAATGGTCAATAAAACAAAAAATTAGTCCTTGTTAAAAATGGCTTTTAACAGGTGACAGGGGGTGAGGAGAGACCTCAATCCAGTGAAAGCATAAAGTCAAAACAATCTAACTTTATATCTAGAGGTTTTCAATTTGTTTTCAGCCCGAATGAGTAACAAAAGCAAAAATGAATGCAATTTTGTCCAAAGGTTCCTAAAAAGCAACAAAATATTTAATAGAATCAAAATTGTTTTCAATGTCTTTTTAATTAAAAGGTATAGCCATCCCAAATTCCATGTGACTTCATCATCTGCACAAGACCTTAGTATTTAACTACAGAAAAGATGAAACAAGAAAAATTACAAACTTACGCGTGTGGGCAAATGTATTTTACATGGGGGCTTTTGATGCCAGCAAGTGCTTCTGACCATCCATGCCTGTTAACAAAAAACATATTGTATGTTATTTATGTACTAGCTTAGCTCCTACATTTATCTTGCTGAAACTACACAGCACATATCAAAAATGCTGAATAAGGTCAATATTTCTAAAAGAATTGTACAGATAGTTCAACGTGCTATGAATACATTACTAAATTTAAAAGGTTTATCATGCTTCTGAGTATTTGTTGCATATATGCAGCCAGGGACACTTTATCTAATTTTATCTAGACTATCACAGCTGTAGAAATACCACTTTGGCTCTGTTTAAAGCCTGCTCTTTACCTGGCTGGGTTTAACAACTTTAATACTGCAACATATGAACGTGTACTGCTTCCAAACTCAGCACTAGCCCAGAGCTCAGTGTGCTGCTCCTGCAGAGTTAAGGCAGCTTTCTCATTTTTAACTGCATCTCTTGATGTGTGTGAGGAGAAAACCAACACCTAAGCATGGATCACATAGAGCCAACTTAATCAAACCAGGCATGTTGACCACAGTTCAGCCTGCATGCCCTCAGAATCAGGCAGTTTTTCAAATCTCAAACATATACTGTATGAATGTACAGTGCCCAAGATTTGCCCAGGACATGAGTCATCAAGCTTCCTACAAACCAGGTAACTGGAATCATTATTTAAAGTAAGAGCTCAGTGAGATTCATGCTAGAGCTGAGCCAGACTTGTACACAACTGGACCCAAAGCCAAATCTGTGCAGAACTGCTGGCTGTGCCTGCACTTTGCTTTAGCAAACATTCAACAGTCACTGGATTTCCTGACTTCTCTCATTATTCAGCATCATTAACTCACTCAGCACACTGGGTACCAGAGAGACATTTCTAAGGAAAAAACACCTGTAACAAACTCAGTGACGTAGCTGAACTTACTCAACCAACAGCAGACCAGCCATAACACCCTGTTTTTAGTATCATCCTAAAACGTTAATGCATACTGCATGAAGTAAAGGAGGTTTCAAACACACAGAGTGCACAGGCACTTGAAATCCAGGCTGGAGATGGCAACCTGCTTCCTACCAGTACTTTTATATACGTTACTAACAAAGAGTGGGTGATCTTACCTGCAGAGTGTTAGTAATAAAGCACAAAAGACCAAAGAAGGATCTAAATGAAAAAGATGACTGAGAAGACCTAGTTAAACTTTAAAAATCAGAGTTTTTTTTTTTCTTTTAGCCACGTGTAAAGACTAATTTGACAAACTGCAAAAACTGCATTGCATAAGCATATATTCTGACTCTCTAGAATAATCCTCTATGTTGCACGCTTTCTTCAGATTTTGACAAGCGTGCAGTCAGCCGAGCAGAAGCAGCAAAGTACGAAGTTTAAGCAACTTTCAGCGGCTCCCATCTCTAAGGCATGCAACCTTACACCCGAAACTCTACACAGCTACGGGCAGGCGCTAACATATCGACATACACACCCGGTATCTCCCAGTCCATGAAGAAAAATCACCTAGGAAAAATAAAATCGTGCTATAAGAAGACTTCAGGAAAGCGAGATCCCCGGGCTGCAGCCCCCGCCCCACCGCCTGGCACCACGCCCGCCTCCCCCGCCCGCTGACACCGCGACCTTTCCAGCACCGGGCGCCGCTCCGAGCCCGTAGCGCCGGGGACCCGTGGCGCTGCGCAGGGCCTTTCACCGCCCGCCCTCAGCCGGGCACGGCCTCGCCGCGGCGTCACCCCCAGGCCGCCGCCGCCGCCCCCAGCCCCGGCCCGGCGGAGAACAAAGCGGGGCGGGGGCCGCCGCCCGTCAGGGTTCCCGAAACCTTGCGCTGTCTCGCCCGCTTCCCGCCCGGACTCACGGCGGCCGTCGCCTTCCTGGCGGCCGGGACGATGGCGGGAAGCGGCGCCGACATGTTGTTGCCGCACATACACCGGACTGCCGGGCGGCCGCGGGACGGCGGCCAGCGGCGGGAGGCGGGGCGGGGCGGTGGCCGGGGGCGGGGCTGTTCCTGCCGTCACTGCCCCGATTGGCTGCGGTGGGGTTGGCGGGAGACGGGGGCGGCGCGGGGGAAGCTCTGAGGGAAGGGCAGCGCTGGGTTTCTTCAGATCTTACACAGCTGCTTCAGCTTTGGGTTTGTAGCGATTATAAAGGGATCGTGCATGGAGGAAAAGGATCTGGGGGTGTTAGCTGATGTTTGGCTGAACGTGAGCCAGTAGCGTGCCTAGGTGGCCAAGAAGGCCAGTGGCATCTTGGAGTGTGTCAGAAGTAGTGCAGCCAGCAGGAGCAGGGAAGTGACTGTCTGTACTCGGCTTTGGTGGGGCCATGTGTCCAGTACTGTGTTCAGTTTTGTGGCCCCTCACTGCAAGAAAGACACCGAGGCCCTGGAGTGTGTCCAGAGAAAGGCAGTGAAGCTATGAAGAGTCTGGAGCACAAAATCTGATGGGGAGCAGCTGAGGGAACTGGGGTTGTACAGTCTGCAGAAGAGGGCGCTCAGAGGAAACCTTATTGCTCTCTGCAACTCCCTGAAAGGAGGTTGTGGTGAAGTGGGGGTCGGCCTCTTCTCTCAGGTAGCAGTGATAGGATGAGAGGGGATGGTCTCATGCTGCACAGGGGAGGTTCATGATGGATATTAGGAACAATTTATTTTCAGAAAGAGTGCTGAGGCATTGGAACAGACTGCCCAGGGAGTGGTGGAGTCACCGTCCTTGGAGGTGTTTGAGAAACGTGGAGATGTGGCACTGAGGGATATGGTTAGTGGGCGTGGTGTGGATGGGTTGATGGTTCAATTAGATGTTCTTAGTGGTCTTTTCCAACCTTAACGGTTCTATGACTGAACTGTCTTTCACCTTTAAAACTAGCTTTCAAATGGGCCTTCAAATCTGAGCGTCTGCCAAATTACACTGCACTTCTGTGTCATAATTTGTTCATGTCTGCCATTTGACTGTTTCTTATAAAAATCAGTTTTTGTGCTTTGAAAGACTTTGGGGGGGAAAGGAAATCTAAATGTTCTTTAAACACTAAGTCACGGGAAGCAGGAAAAACAGGAAAACAAACAAAAAAGACAGCAGGCAATACTGTTGGACAGAGCTCATTTGTCCCTGTCAGATCAGATGCTTGCATCAATGAATTGTGTTTTATGGCCAAAGGGTGAATGCCTCTTATTCATTTGCTCATTCCAAGAACTCAGACAAACTCTGAATGAGTATGGCTAACACAATGCTGCCAGAATAAAATGCTTTTGTCATCTGTTCCATGCATCTTTGTCAGATATTTCCTCCGAGGAAGTCAATCTGCTCACTGTATTTTGCTGGGTGGTATCTGTTGGAGCTCAGTCACTATATGACAACTCAAACAGCAGCTGAAATGTGCACTGTGTTGTGTGAAAGTGCATCCATCCTGCTGGCACATTCCATACCAGGCAGGGGTAGTTTTCTACTAAGTAAATTCTTCTCAAGCCTTAATATCTTTGTCAGCGTGGTTGCATAACTTATGTTGGAGAGGTCTTTGTACCAACTGTATAACTTCAAGTACACATCCTCTTTTGCCATGACTGTGATGCTGTTTTGATAACTAGTATCTATGGCAGGGGATTTCCATTGTTGCCATCTTGTTATTTTTAACAAGCCCTCTGTTTTATCTCTGTGCTTTAGTTCTTGTACCACGTATGATACCCAATTCAAATCTGCTACAATTATGTTTACTAGATTGTCTTTCTTATTCAACAAAGGTAACTCTCCTGAGGTGACCTGATGCAACTCCTGCTGCGCAGGGCCTGATGTCTGCTGACAGCTGGGCCAAGTGGTTGATCATTGCATCTGGACCGACCTCAGCTGAACTGCCAGCCCTGCTCAGAGCTGCTGGAGCAATGCTGCTCCGTGCGCACAGGGCAGCTGGGAGTTGGACAACAGCAGAAGGGCAGTGGGGCACAGGTCACAGCAAACAGCACAGGGCTTGTCTTTCTGAGGGAGCCACTATTAGCTTCCAAATTGTGTATCTTTCAAAGCCTTGTGAGTTGGATGTCTTTAGAGTGAGTTATATGCATATATTTTTCTACCAAACTTACAGTACTGAGAACTTTACAAGGCAGAACATGCTCTAAACTGTGTATTTTCCCTTATCCTAATGGCTGAAATTGACACAGATGGTTTCCCATACCAGCATTTTATGTGTATTGCTACATAGTTGGTGTTTCTGAACACCAGGAGAACCAATACAGACTTCATCCTGTAACTCGATTTCCAAATGTCACAGAATCATGGAATCATAGGGGTTGGAAGGGACCTCCAGAGATCATTGAGTCCAACCCCCCTGCCAAGGAAGGTTCCCTACACCAGGCTTACTGGCAGAACAGTAAAGGTTACCAGGCTGAGCTGCCTGCTAACTTCCATCAGATCGATGCGCTGAGTGCCCTAAGTCACTCCTGTTCATAAGCAGCCTTGACGGTTTTAAAGGCTTGGCTTTAAAACACGGGGCTGAGGGCAGTGCGAATAACACAGGAGTGAAGAACTAAGTCCAGTTTGAGACCACAGCCATTGGCACTGTCTGCTGAGAGGGCTGTCTGACGCTTGACTCGCGCTTCCCCGCTCTCGCAGCACGCAGCCCACTCGCAGCTATCCGGCGGAGCGGAAAACCACACCTCTGACCGCCGCCATCTTGTGCCATCCTTGCACGCTCCCGCCCTCCCAGGCTGTGGCACTGCGCGACAGTGCTGGGAGGTGCGGTTTACGGCTCTTGCCGTAAAGCAGCTCTGCCTGTGGAGCGCCGCCGTCGTCCTTGGGAGGGCAGTGGCGATGAGCGGGAATGGCGCGCATGGGGCTCTGCAGCTGCTGCGGTCGCTGCCTAAGGTCAGCCTGGCCAACCTGAGGCCCAACCCGGGTTCAAAAAAGTCGGTGAGTGCCTGTGGCTGGTCGGGTGGGTCTCGGGCTGCCTGTTGCTCTCAAGAGCCGTCGCAAGGTCTTTGAGAGACCGCGGTAGGCCTGGGAGAGCTGCCCGGCTGGAACGAGGGGGGATGGCCCTCTGTCCATTAAATCTGTGTGCATGCGGCCATCTCCATGGACAGCTGGCTGATGGGCGGCCCTAACTAGACCTCAGGGCCGTTGTAGTCGTTGAGAGACATTAAAAATAAATATATGGAATACCAAACGTTTATGACTGGGAGTAATAGTATGCATGAAAAAGGAGAGGCTAGACAGAAAGGAAACGTCATTCCAGGCAGCATTTGTTATTAGTAGTGATTGTTCCAGAGCAAAACTGAATTCTCTCTTACCATCCCTAATTATAAAACAATAGACAACTAAGGAAAATTGATATGGGGGCAAGAAGACTCATAGGAATAGAGAGCAAACAGAACACCAAGCAGGGCATCCTTGGAAGTGCTCCCCAGAGATGCTAACAGACCTGGTGAGTTTGGCGTATTTGTAGTCCCACAGGCCCATGGCAAGGCGGGAGAACCAATATTCTTTCCCACTGTGGTTATCAGGGGTTCTCCAATCAAACCGCTTATCTAGATGCAGCTTTGTCAAGGTCATAATGACCTGGAAGGGAGACTCTGTGTGGGACTGGTGTGGTGTCCTTATTTTTTTTTTATTTTTTTTTTTTCTCAAGCTAATCGCACCCATGTTGTCTAAACTTGAGGTTTAAAGGAACTAATGTAATCTGTTCAAATAAGTGTATTTAAGTGTGTGTTACTTCACAAACAGATGTTGTGAAAAGAACCAAAATGTTTTGATTAGCCCCACTGACAATCTAAAATGTGGTCAATATACCAATTGCTTTCTATTTTTGACCACAAATTGGTGTATGTGCAGGCAGCTGCCAGAAAAGATGGGCCAGTAATCCCCTCCGTCTGCCTCCAAGTACTTTCACTTCTGCTGTGTATTTGTGCTGATGCTAAAGGTTGTGTGGTGAGCCAGATCAAGGAATGCAATCCCTGAAAACTAATTAGACAAAAAATAATTTTCATCTGGTTTAATTTCCTGATTTATCTAATGCAGAGCTATACAGCACAAGAGATTCTGTAAATTAAGCAGCACAGGTGTGTGGGTTAGGGATGAGACAGCTTCCATTAGTGGCAATAGTGTAGTCTAGCATGAACTTGCACTGGAACTCTGTGCTATTTAATATTAATACGTGTAAGCCTTGCCTTGTTTCAAGTATGTTAATGATTTTTTAAAAGATTATTTATAGCCACATTGGCTTTTTTGTTAATATGCCAGTGTACATAAAGTTTTCCATAACTTAATAAAAAGCATTTAAAAAACAACAGATTTTTTGTCTTTGTGTCAGTTCTCAAACCTTAGTTTTACTAAATATTCCCTGCTGCAGTATAACTGCAATGCATTATTTACAGTATTAGGAATGCCCACAGTTTGCTTGAGTGTTGGATGCAAAAAATTAGAATGTGAAGAGACTTAATGAAATCTTTTTACTAATGACTTATTTAAATTATTTTTGAACCAACAGTGATTATGGAGTGACTTAGGATATCAAAAGTTGCTTGTGAACATTACAGATCACGTTTAAAATGTGTTGCTTTACATATTTCCCAGTATTACTGATTCAAATTGAAGAATATAGTGGAAAATAGCAAATACTTGTGGAGACATGAGAGTGTAAGCAATTAAATGGAAAAAAACTTTGTAAATCAAAAGCATTCATCAAGGTGATGTGCAGAGATGGTTGTGCCTCTTGGAGCTCAGTAGCAAACTCTTAACTGTACAGCACAGTGGTGAGGAATCTGAGGCTTATGGTTTATCCCTGACAAAGCATGAGGAAATCAAAGTGAGCTTTAGTGCTGCAAGATCTTTGGTATGTGAGATAAAGTAATCTTACGCAGTAGATTTTTAATAGCTAGGTCAGTGTGGGATGGCACTGCTTCATTTCAAGCTGGTACAGATGCTCATTTCCACCATTGTTTAATGCTTATCTTGTGATGCTATAGATATTTGCATACTTATGTTCTGCTAAATGATGTAACTAATCTTTTCTGATACCTTTTTTACATTTGCTGTTTGCCACTTGCTGTGCAAATGCTGTTGCAGGAGGATTGCTAACATGCTACTTGTGGCTGCAGTGCTAAGTTGAAGTGTTCAGGAATCTTTCAGCTTAGTTTCACAGTCTTAGTTTAAGCAGTAATAAAAGTTTGAAATATAATCCTCTTCTGATTTGTAGTCGGTAGTTACAGACTTTCCAAAATAATCTTGGTCTCTGGAAAAGAATTTTGTGTATGCATTGCGAATGTTTTCTGTTCCTCTGCATCTTGAAGTGTTCTGATTTCCGTTGTTAATATTCACAAACTTCTGAGCACTAAGCAACTTTTTCATTAAACAGGAGGGAATATCAACAGTTAATGCAGCAAAATTGTTTAACTTGGAGAGTGCAGAATGTGTAACAGGCAGGATTAAGTACTACTATTCCTTTTATTGCAGTATGTGTTCATGTAAACTTCCAACTATTTGTGCTGCTTACCAAGAAATGACTGTCAAAAAAGCCCACATGAACAGTTTTACTGAGCATTTTTCCCCTTATAAAAGAGCTGTTTCTAACTCTTTTTCCATGTTAAGAATTGGCATTTTATTGTGTTTGTTGTCTCAGAAATCTTATATTTTAAAGATTCTTCTTTAGAAAGTAGCTAACTAAATGTATCTTTTATTATTTTCAAGGAGAGAAGACGTGGCCGTGGACGACACAGAGGTAGAAAGTGTGGTCGAGGTCATAAAGGGGAAAGACAAAGAGGAAATCGCCCCCGGTTAGGCTTTGAGGGTGGCCAAACTCCATTTTATTTGTCTATACCAAAATACGGGTTTAATGAGGGACATAGGTAAGTTCTTTCATAGTAGCACACAAATTAATCAGTTTGCTTTTCTTAGTCTTTCTCATGAAGCCAGAGTCTGTCTAGTATGCCAAAACATGTTATAGACTAGTTATATCTGATAGTTACCTTACTTACAAACAGAATCACCTGTTTCTCATGAAATACTTATTTCTTTTAATAAATTATTTCATTTTGCTTTGCAGCTTTTCTTGTTTGCCCTTTTCTTTGCATAATCTCTCATTTGTAGCAGTCTATCCCCTACACTTAAGACTATTTTTCTTCTGAGAACCCTCCTCCAAACTTCCTTGTTTTTCTCCATGCCTGTAGTCACAGCAGATAGCCGATTGGACTGACTGGAAGTGGGCACTTTGCCTTTAATGAACTCCTGTGAAGATGTTAGGCTTCAAAGTGTAGCTTTTCTTTGTTATTTCAGTTTGCTTTATTCACCTGGACCTCTCATGTCTGCTAGCCAAGCAATTCTGCTTTTTGTCATTGCTCTACTTGCTTATCCCTGCAGTGATGCCATTTATGTCTATCTGTGCTCCATCTGTTCTGCCCAGTATCGTAAAAAGCCAGACGTTAAATTATCCTTTGCTACTGTTTTCATCAGGTGCTCTCCCTATGTCTGATACTCCTGTCCCCTTTTCACATTGTGCTTATTTGTGCTGTTGTCCCTCTTTCAGCTTTTTAACATTAGTCACTCAACTTGTTTTTCCTTCTGTCTCTTTTCTTAGTGGTGGATCTGTGTGCTGGTCTTTATATTCATTTTCTTAACTATATTGATAGATGAAAAACTGTTAGGTTTTTGTTGTCTATTTTTGTTCTTTTTACATGTGGTCACGAAAACTTCTATATCCATACAACGCTGTTATGTTCTGTACTAATAACAGAAGCATGCCACAAATGCAGACAGTTTAAAATGGAAAGACTGATGTCTTTGTTAGTTGTTAAACTTGCAGTTTGATTTAATGTTTCATTTGCTGATATAACTTCAGCAAACAGCTGTTCAGTTTTATATTTTCAGTTTATTCAGCATATATTCAGTGAATTTATACAGACCTGTCCTCATTACTAAAGTCTTTTTCAACAAGTCTTGTTAGTTTTGAACTGTTTCAAATTATATTTCTATTTACTGTCATTTCTTCCTCTTTGATTAATTTATATGATGAGTAAATGAGAAGCACTTTTCACCCACAAAGGACGTGCTACAGAATACAAACATTGAGCTTCTCACATTAGCAGTGGTCATAAGTTTATTACTAAACAACAATAAAAATCCAAGCTTCTGCAGTGACAAAAATAAAAGGATCGTACTGCTTTGTAATTGTATTGGGTACACATAGAAACAATAACAAAAGGTACTTCTGCAACTTAAGTGCACTCCAGAGACTACTGTGGTAGAATAAGAGTGTAGTGAACAATGTCTCTAGAGTTTATCTTTACCTCTTTTTTTTTTTTCCTATCTGCAGTGCTAACCCTCTACTTTTTCAACTTTTTCTCTGTTAGGAGCTATCTGATGGGACTAATTCTGTTGCTTTTTTTTTTTTTTTTTTTTTTTCCCTGGCTTAATTTAGATAAACTTCTCAGTTTTTCTACAAGCATTCACGGATTTCCAGTAGCAGTAATTAATTGTATGAGGATAGTTTTGAGCTTCAGCAGGAATCCTATGCGGTAGGCAGAAAGACTGGAATTGGGGAAACTACTCTGAGGATTGTATTACGTAGTTAAGTTAGAACTTCATAAAAGGCAACAGAAGATTCTGCTGAAGGTGACAGCTATTGATAGAATACGTAATTTTCCTTGGTGATAGTTTGTCTTGATTTGTTTTTTTGTCAGATTTTCCAAAGGCATTACAGTGATGTTACCAAGCTGGATTCACTTTCATGTAGTTATTTAGAATCTTGTTGAATTAGCAAGAAATGCTTATATTTAACTCATGATGTTTTGCTGCTTCCTTAAACCGACCAGCTTGTCAACAGCAAAAGGATCAATGTCGTATTGGAGGGTGAAAATTGAACTCATAGTGCAATCTTGATCTGTAACTGGGACTTGTAAGTTTAATTTAATGCAAATTTGGCTTATGGATGAGTCTGTTGTAAGCATTTACATTTAAGACTGGGTAGAAAACTGAAGATGTACAGTATATCATTGACCAGCTCTATTTAAGTTTGAATTTTATACATTTCTTTTTGTTCCTTTTTTTTTTTTCCCTCATTCCTCGCCAGCTGCCGACGTCAGTATCATCCACTCAGTCTTCAGAGGCTGCAGTACCTGATTGATTTGGGTAGAGTTGACCCTACGCAACCAATTGACTTAACACAGCTTACTAATGCTAGAGGTGTAACAGTACAACCTCTCAAACGGGATTATGGTGTCCAGCTGGTGGAGGAGGTAGGCATAAAATACAAATATATTGTTTCAGACAGCATAAAGCCTTGGGTTTTCAGTTTTTTCACACTAGACTGTCCAATTGTCCTGCTTTGGAAGCATCCTTGCTTTTTTAAATTAGTTTTTTGTAGAATTCATTATATCAAATCCACTAGAGGGCAGCATGTGCAAGCAAAATATACGGGAGATGTTTTAAGACCAGACAAAAATAATAGTTAAGGAAAACATAATGATAGGTCAAAAATTATTTTGGGACAGGAGATTAGAACATACTAAAAGAAATGTATGAGAATTTTGGATGGGCAAACATTTTTAATTGAACCCAGGTGACTAAAGGAGAGTAATATGGGACAGTAAACAGACAAATCATAGTTTTTTTCAGGATAAAATGTTTCTTATAACTTTGCAGAGAAGAATGTACGTATGCCTTAAAATACTCCTGTTAATGTTACTCTAATATGTATTGAAACTTACAGGGTGCTGATATCTTTGCAGCAAAAATAAATATTGAAGTGCAGAGGGCATCTGAATTAGCAATTGCAGCTATAGAAAAAAACGGAGGTGTTGTTACAACTTCGTTCTACGATCCAAGGAGTTTAGGTAAGAATTTCTGTTCATTTCTGACTTATTAAAATCTGAAGAATAAGGGTCCAAATTTCAGATGTAGTTTCTATTGGAAAATCGTCCACTTCATCCATTCTAAAAGCTTAAGCAAAAAGTATATTGTATAAATGTTGACCTGCAGTGTCTCCTCTGTTTTCTTTTTTCTTAAAATGTTCATCTGTTTAGCCCTACTGGTGTTAATGGTTATTTACCTGTCAGCCAATTTAAGAAATGTCAGTTGCTGTGTAAACAGAGGAACTAATAAGGGATTGATTCTTTGAATTTTTATCTTTTCCATACATTTAACAAACCTTGGGAAATTCAGGGGAAGATTGATTTAAATGATGCTTGCTTGATGATATTTTTAATTTAAAATTGCTTTCCAGTTAAAATGAGGAAATAACTAAGTCAGAGAAGGTCAGAATCATTCCAAATAAAATGGCTATTGTTTTAGAACACTTTCACTGAAGAATGTGGCTTTGCTTTGCTCGAGGCTGCATCCTGCCTGATATTCATTCATGCCATTTTTATTGACAATAACGGAGCTTTCATGTGTGAATGAGGCTGAGGACAAGAGGAATAGGCTTCTTTTATACAAAATATGTTGTCCTGGACTGATAAAAGCAATTTTTTTTTTCCTAATCCAGGAAATGATCAATTATTTAGTTTAAAAACATCTGGAGTGTAATTTGTCAACTATTAGTTAAAAATGAGGCGAGGACAGTTTCACAAATGTCTGGATAGACTCATAGAATGGCTTGGAAAGGACCTTGAAGATTCTCTAGTTCTATCTCCCCGTCCCCCACTGTGACAGAGTTGCCACCCACTCAGTCAGGCCCTGAATAGGGCCAGTGAATGATATGTGCACAGCTTCTCTAGGCAATCTGTTACAGTGCCTTTGAATAAAGAATTTCTTCCTTATGTCCAATCTAAATAAACTTCCTATTGATTCTTTGTTTAAAATACTTAAGGAAACACTGAAGTTACCACTCGTTGACTGTGTAAATAGTAATTTTTAACATCTTAGCCAGTACTTTAAGCCAGAAGATGCCATCATCTTCAGTGTTATCTTTCCAATGAAGGCATTATAAATGTATTAGAAATGGTAACTCATATAGACTTGTTTTAACTGATATTTATAATGACACAGTTCTTTGTTTGGAAGAAAAATGGCATTTTGTTCTGAATAAGAATATTAAGATTTGGTTTCTGCTTGGTATGTTTTTATTAAGTTAGCTTAATATGTTATTTAGCACAAAATATGAAGTGAGTGTAATTTATTGTCTCTAAATATTGGTTATAAAGGATCGTATCTAATCTCTTTTCTTTGCAGAGATTTTAATTAAGCCAGTCCCTTTTTTTCTGCGTGGCCGGCCTATTCCAAAGCGAATGCTTCCCCCTGAAGACCTCGTGCGTTACTATACAGATGCCAGTAATCGTGGGTACCTGGCAGATCCATCTAAGGTTGCAGAAGCCCGACTTGAACTTGCCAAGAAGTATGGTTATACCCTACCAGACATAACTAAGGATGAGCTCTTCAAAATGTTAAGTACGCGCAAAGACCCTAGGCAGATATTTTTTGGTCTTGCTCCAGGATGGATCGTAAACATGGCAGACAAGAAAATTCTGAAGCCAACTGATGAGAGGCTGCTAAAATACTACAGCTCGTGAATTCAGGACTGAAGACAACTGCAGGTGTACAGGAAACATCTGGGTATGAAATAATGGATACAAAGTGGTGTTTTTTTTTTTTAAGACTCCTGTTATACCAGACAAAACAAAAGTTTTTGTTTATGCAATCTACTGGTGTAGCTTTTGCTCTTTTTGGTTGTCATAATAATGTGTATGAAAAGGTCTTAACATTTGGAAGCAGTGTGGAGTCTGAAATAAAGCATGTATTTGGGCACTTTCTCTTGCTATTATTTGCCTATTATATTTTTTTCAGAAAAAAATTGTTTGGAGTTTTATTTTTCAGTGGATGTTTCTGAAGAGTAGCTTGGCTTAATAATTAGTTTATATTCTTTCCCTTCAATCAAAAAATCTGAAATATGCTTGTGTAAAGGAAATACTAGTTTTAAATTGTTATACAGCATTCCAATTAATATTGTAAAAAATGTTACCTTGAACGCTTCCAAAACATAAACTGTCATTTTTTCTTGGATGGAGAAAATAAAATAACACTGGAAACCATTGAAGTACAGAAGAATTAATTAACCTCTTCAAGTTCATAGCAATGTTCTGGATTTTGCCACTGCCTAAAAAATCTCAATTTTCTTCTTTTTTTTTTTTTTTGTCCTGTAGTCATTGCTTCAGATGGAATTGAGAAAGCCATAGCGTGTAGTTTGAAAGAACTTCATCTGAATTCCCAAAACAAAAGATAACTGTCTTAACAAGTGCTTTTATTCAAATGGAACTTAAAAGTTGTCCAGATGCAGATATAATGTCATTGCTGAACATGCACAGAATTCAGTGACAGTGAATGTTAGTAGTGCATCCAGTGATGTTAGATTATGAAGGATGTGTGAAGAATGTATGTGATGGACAAAACATACAATAAGGATTCAGTTTTCAACTTGGTCAGACTGTGTGTGGTAGGAGACTAATTCAGGTGTTGTAAAAAAAAAAAAAACCTGCAAGTTAGTTCTATAGAACACAGTATATAACAAGAACGGCTTGATATAAAGAGGGTAAATATTTTCCAACAACTGCTTGTTTTATCAATAATACTGAAGTATTACAATCCTAGGTTTTATCTGGATGCTTAGGATTGGGCATTTTGGGATGACAAACCATGCAGTAAATCGAAAGGAGAATCTTAAATTAATCTGTGATTGACTCTTCACAAGTTAGTGAGATGTTTCATAATTACTTGAACTTTTAATGGAAGCTGAGTTTGGCGTTAAAGTAGGGATAGTTTGGATATCAAGATGCAGGAAGCAGTCCGGAAGACCAGAACATAAGAATAACACTTGCTTTCCAATTTTTTATGTGCCTTTGGAAATGCTGCTTATAGTTTCCTGTAGCAAACAAACTGCCCCATCACCTAGGGAAAGCCTTCCAAGTGCCAGAATCTGCTTCTGATTTGTAACACCTGCAGTTTCATTTGTGTGCTTCAGTAAGAAAAGCCTTCGCTTTTTCTTTCAGAGAATAAAAGAAGTAGCAAATTTTTTTTTGCTGGTTTTTGTCAACTCAGATTTCTGCTTCACTCAGCAAGTGGTGTTGGCAATCTGTATGAACATCTGTAATTACAAGACGAAGTGAAATGTTCTCATGCAGAATAACTAGCACAGAATGCAAAGATTAGCAATGGAAAGTAATTTTTTTTTTTTTTTCCAATTTACACTTCAGTTTCTATTGTCTGTTAATGTGTGCAAGATGCTATTAATAATGGGCGTTCTCCTGATTTATAGCTGAAGTATAGGTGAAGCATAGCAAAACAACAGCAATATAAAACTGGATTGTGAATAGCAGGAATTTGCTCTCACTGGTGTTAACATCAGTATTTTATAAGGTGCACAACACTTTTCTGGCACATCAAAAGTAACACTGCTTGCCAAAAAAAAGTATAGCGAGTGTTAACTTGAACGTGAAGTAAATAACTTTCTCACTTTAGATGTATCCTGTTCTGCATCCTGATGATTGTAGGTTTGGAAACTTAAATGACAAGCAATACTTATTTTTACTTTTTTTTTTCTTGCTGTTGTTACAATGCTGCCACCTCCATTTGGGAAAGAGTTGGAGGGGGAAGAGTATTTATTGCCTTCCCTTATTTGTGCCATAATGTTTCTGTTTTTATGAATCAATTCACAATTGTATTATGTGGAGGTGGTGGTACTCAACAGGAAAGCTACTTAACTGGAAGCAAAGAAGGAAGTTAGTCATATTAGTGAAGACCAGAAGACAAAAGTGTTTATGTATCATTGTGTATTTTTGGGAGGAGGAGAGGGGGGAAGGCAACTTTGTTTCTACTCCTGCTCTTTGTATTAAAATGAACAAATTGCTTTCAGCAATTTTTTTCCTAAATCAACTTTGATACCCACACGCGTGTGTATGCACTACTTGCTATAGGTTTCTAAGTGGTTTTCAGGTGAAAGGGTAACTTGGATAAAATGATAACAGTGAAAGAAAGAATGAAAACAGGAAACAGATGTCTGGTGACGTCGAGTGATTGGATAGCACTTATTCAAGCAAACGACATCTTAGTCACAAGGCAGCTGTATCCTGGCTCTGATACTATAATGCTACAAATACCTTGGAGCCAAAACAGCCACGTTCCACAAAATCCGGTCATTCTACTTTATAAAGGTGATCTTTTATCATCTTATAATTGGAGAGGGCAAAGGGGGCTGTATGTTGCTTTATTTAAAATATGCAATGCTCATCTTTTTTTTTTTTTTTTCTGCTTATAGTAGTTAGGATTTTATAACACTTGTTCTGATTTTATTTACTAGTGAAAAAAGTGGTAAAGCTATAGAGGATTTCCTGTTCATTTTATCTCATCAGGAGCACAAGTCTCCTGGCAACTGAATACAGAATTATCTAGAGCACATGTAACTTATTGACAAGGTTTCCAATAAATCTGTAATATAAACAGCCTCCCAGTGGACTGTCATTTATTCGATGATCAGGCCCTTTGATGGAGGACTACACACCAGCACTGGCATCTAAGGGCAACCTCTATCTAGGAGTCTGTACCATGTTTTCATGTTTGCAAGATAAACGATTGGTTTCGATATCCTGCTTTGATAGGGTTTTGTTTTTCATACGCAACAATTAATTACACTGCAAGAAACACAGAATCTGCTGTAACTGAAGTGTTACCAGTTAGCTGAGAAAACGCACGTTAGTGCCATGAAATACCAAAAGTGGTGTTCATTTTTTATCAACATCAGGCTTGAATGGTTCCTTGATAAAACAGGTTGCATATGTGAGACTGAAATGAAAAAGGCCTCTGAACAACTATCTAGCTCCATAACTATTAGGTCTGTCTCTATTATACCTGCAAGTGGCTGCAGGCTTGAAGTGAAGCTAGTTAACATGAATGTCTTTTCCCTTTTACGTATATGTACAGCAAAGACAGTTCTTTGAAGAGCTACTGACTTGTCATTCATTACACTGCCTACTAAACTATTAGCGTTTAACAGTCAAAAGTTGACCAAACTGTTCACTGATTTCTGAAGACACAAAGACATAAATTATTGGCCCTGGCCTGAATCTTCTCTGGCAGAGTGCCAACATTGTTTTGACATATGAACATAACTGATGTCAGTGCTCCAGGAAGTCATATAATAGTGATCAATTATGAAGATAGCTTCCCATTGCTATTTTATTGGATTTTATTTCACAACTTAATTAAAAGGCTACTTCAAAGCTAATTTTGTGCTGCTGAGCACTCAAAAGTTCTGTAAGATTTGCCTACATTAATTTGAAATAGTTGCACAATTTGTTATTTTAAGCACTAAATATGAATATTATATATCTGTAGAACAAGTGAGATGTAATGTCTGCCCAAAAGAATTTTGTGTTCTGGGTGCAGATTTCTCTCTTAAAATTTCCTGATCGGAGATCAGATGGGAGTAGTTTTACTGAACTCATGGTCTGTACTTCAGTTTATTGTGTTGTCATTCAATATGTGAAAAGATGTACTTGGAAGTCTTGGTGTGGCAGACAGAATCTTTGCCCATCAGAGGAAAATTGTGAACATTGAGCTCCTTTATCTTGACCCATGTGGCCATCATTGTCTTACTTAGCAGAAATGTGTGGCATTGTCTAACAAGCTCTGTTCCTTGGTGGAAGCAAGCTCTCCTCAGATCTATTCTGTCTCCTCTGTTCCATCTGTGTCTTTCAGCAGTCTCTTCTCATTTCTCCTGCTGTAGTTGTGGGAACTGCAGGGCTCAATCATTCTCACAGTGTCATCCTGTCTGGCCCACTCTGAGTTTGAAAATCTGGTTGTTTAATGTGCCTCTGGAGCAGGAAAAGTGTTGATCATTCCTGCATCTGTTTATATGAGGGGGTTTTTCGTGGCTTGAGTTTCCTGGACTGGTGTTGCTTTTGTTGTTAAAAATGTCAACAGCAGAGTTGTTTACTTGTTAACCTCGTAGATTCCAAGACACAAGCTGACCAGTGTGGAGAGCTCTTTGAGCAATGGATTCAGAGCTCATTCAGAGTCAAGGAGAACTCCTGGAAGGGTTTCTGTGCACTGCGTTCAGAATTATACACCCTAGATCCAAGTCTCAACAGACACTTCTGTATATCATGCCCAAACCAGTCTGTGCTTGGACTTTTGGAAACCCAGCCTCTGTAAGATTCATGATAGTCTCCTGACGGGATCACCCTGACTGATCTCTTATCTATAAACACGGGCAAGTTTGTATTAGCAAATCAAACACTAGCATATAATTTCCCTTTAAAGTTAATATCATGAGTTGCTTTTTTTAATTTCCAAATTAATGGAATAACAATCCACGTTGCTCACAAGCAGACAACACAAGCTAACTTTGTAGTCTGCAGAAATCTGATCGTCAGTCAGTAGAGTCTGGACGCTCACTATATTTAGCCCGGAGTAGGCACCTGAGCAGCTGAAATGCTCTCCAGGCTCCACTCTCTCTTTCAGTAGTTTTGATATATAGCACATTTGTGCTATAAAATATCTGGAGCTGAATCTCAATCTCTGTGTCTTCAGTAACTTACAAGCATGAGCTGGGATGATCCTAAGGATCTACATGTCACCCTGCTCAGCATTAGGAATTTCTGAAGCTTGATGCACTAAGTCCTTGAAAATTAGTATGCTGGTGCATGAAAAACAAGCCAGAGGCCATAATGTCACAAGAGATGAAGCTTTGGCAATTAGACGATGAGTGTTACCTTGCAGTTATTGGAGACAGCAGCTTTTCTGAGGTACAGAGATCAGTGGCACCCCTTCCTAGCAGCCTCTGTGACTCTTTCCAAGTGGATGACTCCCACTTTCCAGCTCTGCACTGGTACTGCCATTCAGAACCTGCTTATCATCTTGATCCTCTTGGTGCAATCAGCTGCTGTTGTTTGTGCTAATTCTAAAGTATGCGTTTCCTCTGTTTGCAAAACATGGAAACTCGCAGCTCAGAAAAATGGGAGAGGAGCTCTGAAGTGTGTGCTTCAGCAAGCGGTGCATGCAACCATCAGAGCAGGTGACAGATATTTAAACGTAGGTGTTGTCTCACAGCTTTCTGAGATATGTAGTCAATGTGTCTCTTAGGGTCACCCTGTGATTGCAGGGATGAGCTCTGATGGTCTGATGTGTAGAAGACCTATTTTGGGACTGCTCCTTTACAGATTTTGACTTGTCATTCCTCCTAATGTCAGTGATTCCTGAGTCCTTGACACACCACTGACAAATCTGTTTTTCAGTGTGTAGTCTTTTTTTTTTTCCTAAGTAAATAATACTTATCACCACTGCAAGCAGTCTGGGTAAGGGCCATGTACTAGACTTGAAACTGCTCCAGCCAAAATATTATTCTACTGGTTTTATGTTAGCCTTGGCTTACACGACACTGCTGCTGCCCTGACTTCTAGAACTTGAGGAATGTTTGGGCTTATTGCGTCTTTGCTGTTGGGTTTTTTTTTTTTTTTTTTTTTTTTTTTTTTTTTTTTTGTTGTGAGCCTTCTTCGTTGTTT